TTCCTGAGCACCTAGAACACTGTCACTTAAACATTCATATATCACTCCAGGCCAATTCTTCCAGAAAGTGTTCTGTCATTTTTCCAGGTAGAAGTAACCTCTCCCTCCTTTGAAAGTCTTCCATTGTTAAATGGCTGAGATAGTGTTCTGTTTGTTTCCACTGAACAATTCTTGAGAATAGCCTCCCTAAATCTTAATGACCTCAAAGAATCCCACTTAATGGCTCAAAGAATAGACTTATCTTCAGAATTTGCAGAGAAATAACATGTATTTGGTCTGAGTTACTGAACACTCAGCTAGAATACACAAAGCTGTTTTCAAGGACTTGAACACCTATGCCTATAGTCAATGTTTGATTCTTAAGGATAATATATTTTTTTAACAAATGATAGACATCTCTGAAAATTTATGGCACTCCCATGAATTAGGAATATCATCAAACCCAAGCATATTCAAGCAAAATAAGGCATTAATATGCTTTCTGAAGCCTTCACTGCATACAGTAGGCATGTGCTGACTATTAAATGCTAGACCCATGTGTAGAGTTTGAAAGTTTTAATTTTGGACATTTGTGGTAAATTGAATTAAAATTACCCCATATGCTCCTAGGAACTGGCACTAGTGGGAGGTGTGGCCTTGGAGTAGGTGTGGCATGTTGGAAGAAGTGTGTCATGGGGGAGGGGCTTTGAGGCCATTATTACTTCCTGCTGCCTGCAGATCCAGATTTAAAATTCTCAGCTACATCCCCAGCATCATGTCTACATGCATGCTGCCATGCTTCCTACTTTGATGACAATGGACTAAAGCTCTGAACTGTAAGCCAAGCACAATTAAATGTTTTCCTTTATAAAACTTGCCTTGGTCAAGATGTCTCTTCACAGCAATAAAACCCTATCTGAGACACATATTAACTACTTTTGAAGTGCTAAAATTAAAATTCAAAGTGTTTCAGGCCAAGCAAGCACTGTCCCTACTTTAGAGATTTACCCACAGCCACAAAACATTGGCCATCAGTACTGCAGATCTTTCCAAATCTTCCAGTCCCCTGTTGCATAATCTCCATAAAACATTTCCCTTTAAACATGGCTCGATCTTTACTTACAGAAATGCTTAAGCCATCTTTTGTAGTATTTTCACTACCTAGAATTAAAGCTTTTATTTTCATTTTATGCATGAGAAATTTATAGGCCTAAAATCAATTTCAAGAGATTCCATATTTAATTACTAAGCTTCTCAAATAGTATCTATATTTTATTGTCATAAACAGAATATGTACTTTTTATTAGATTGATTCATAAAAATTTTTCCTACATGTCTTTATTTGAAAATTAATCACAAACATTATAAATAAATTGAATGTTTTAGAAAGAAAATAAAACATAAAACAAAGTACCTATATTTTATGTTCAACCTTCCTCACAAATTTTAACTTAGATTATAAACCAAATTCTAAAAAACAAAAAGTCAAGCAACCAGCAGTGGTATGCATACTTTGCTCACTGTAGAAAAAACATAAGGGAAGCCATGGTTTTCAGATAGAAAATTGTTTATTAATCAAGAATGAAGGCATTTTTCTAGAATTAGAATGATGTAATCCAAAAGAGCAGGATTACAGAAGAATGCAAAACATAGATGAATTCTAGGAGTCATAGAGAATCTACAATAGCATTTTTCTTTCTTTGGTCATATAGTTTCTGGGTTTCAGTCACTTGTGAGGATTTCTTCCAAATGTCAATCAATCGTGTGGTTTGTGTCATCTTTGAAAGACTAAGTTGCTGATGCTCTCTCTTTAGTAGCTATGTTTGCTGTTGGTATTTGCTCAGAAGGGGAAGGAAGAAATAGCTCTGTTCAGTATGTTTACAGGAATTTTATTTCTCCTTTCATTGGCAAGATGCTTGTCAGGCAGTTTTTTTTTTTTTTTTTCTTTTTTCTTTCTTTTTTTTTTAAAGAGCTACTGGTGAGAAGCAGAGCAAACTATTGAAGTCAACCATAAAACCAAGATAGGAGAAGATCACCACAATGGTAGACAAGTGACATCCAGAGCACAAAAGTTGTTGGTGATTGTCCTGTGTATAGAATCTCTTCAATGAGTCTATTCTAGCCAGATTCAGAGTTAACACTACTATTACAATCAGATTTCTTTATACAGAGTACTGACTGAAGCACAAACTACAGAGTGGTTAGTCAGGTCTAGGGTTACACCTGAGGCCAGTGCAACGACCTTCCTGAGATGAAAAAATCAATTTAGCAGAATCGTAGAGACCTTGGAACTGAGTAGAATCTGCTCCACCAGCCTATCCGGAGCTCTTGTACAAGCTGTATGTAAGTCGATCAGTAGCAATTCAGAGGCCTGTTACTGCTGCATAAGTATCTCAGAGGAGGAAATGTACTAGGTATATAGCTCAAAGACTGAAAATTTCTACATAAGTAGCTCCGTGGTGGGAAGCTTGAAGACCCATAATTTGAATACTGGCAGTATCTCATTAGGTAACTCTGGGGTTGATAGCTATTGGTAATGTAACAAGATGGGGAGAAGCCATTGGTGAAGAATCCAAAATTTCCGTAGCTTCTATATCCACCGTTGCCCAGACCACAGGGACGTTGGAGCTGGAGATTCTTAGGGAAGGAACTAAATTGCCCTACAAAGTGGGAGCCATTTTGAGGAGTTTGGCAGGCTTTAGATGCAAATCGAGTAGCTGTGGCGCAATTGGATACATACCCTTTGGTCCCAGCACAGGGACTGCAGCTGGGTCTGGATCTGATGTTGGTAGTTTCACAGGCACTAACAACTCGACTGGCAGATGGGGAATTGCTGGGCGCACAGGAGTTCGTGGGGTCACCATTTGGAGTGCAAGTCTTGAGCTCATGGCTGGGAGATTCACAGCAAGGTGCTTCACAGTAGGAGTCTTGGCAATGGTCCAGAAGCCAGAGATTGCCTTGATAGCTGCTGGGTAAATAATGTCTGAAGGCAGGGTTTACATCATCTGAGCAGATGGCGATAGAAGGAGTCACCGGGATGTAGCAGTGATTTCTATGGGAAGTGGCATTGCAAAGTCCAGGGTAGCCCAGAAGAGACATGGAGGCCGAGTGCAAGCAAGAGGCAGCTGCGTGGGTATGGCATAGCTGCTGCAGGAGGACTCTTTATATCTTCCCTGGTGACTGCAAGGAACGTCTCCAGAGTCTCTTCCTTCTCTTGGTCTGACACAACAACACATAACATCTCATTATTGCATTGTTTAGCCACAGCTGCTAGTGTCTTCAGGCTCACACAAAAATAAGTTTGTTTTGCGTCTTCAAAGTACCTGTAATCACTATTCTGACTATCACCCATTGGTCAACTTCTGTGGGCCACAGCTTTAGTGAATAGTGATTCCAGTGTTAATAGGCAAACTCTCATATGCCAATCGGTGATTTACAAGAGTTCATGTCTCCACAGGATTCTACAGCATGGTTATTAAAAGGTTAACAAGGTTTCAATAAAGCAAGGACCTATATTTTTCTACTCTTTGACTCTGAAAACTGCTGCAGGATTTGATCACACATTCTTCAAAGTTGGATGGTTTGGGTGTCGCAACACTGTCACCTGAAAACAGAAGAGTGCTATGTATTAAATGAATCATTTTTCCTCAAATATGTGTTATGTACATCCAGTGTTAGGCCAGACCCTGATGACAACTTCTCTCCTGGTGTGTTTGGAGAATTCCTTATGTGAGGCTCACAGTAATCCCGGTGGCATTTGGTGACCTACTATTCCAGACTAAAAATGAACTGGTCCCCATGGGTCAGTGGTTGCTAAGCAACTGAAGCTCCCATGAAATCCCCTTCTTAAACAGTTTCTACCCCATGTACTATCAAAGAAATCCAGTTTGTCAATATTGTAGTTTCTTAATTGACTAAGATTATGCAACATGTGCCCTTTGCCCATTCTGTAAAACCTCTATGCTCTCAAATATAGACCATTTTCCAGCAAATGGGATTTACTTGTCCTTTACTTGTTTTCTTTTGAACATTGCCTTTAGTGTATCCTTAGACTGAAGTTATTTTTGGTCTGTGGCAACCAAATGTATTGACCATGTTGAAAGATCTCATTTGAATAATCTCTGTGTTTGCTAGAAGGCACTACACATAGTAAATAGTGTCTTCCCTTCTTTTAAGGTAAGGCTAAAGGGATCTTTAAGATTTTAATTTAAATTTAAGAACTGACATTTTTGTCCTCAAAAACAGAAACTATATTTCAGATTTATAGACTCCATTAAATTAAAAAGAGCAACATGTGTATTAGCAAAGCTGCATTAAGTCTGAGAGCAATGCTAACCTCAGGGAAGGTAAGCTACAGGGACGGATGTTAAGACACTGCCCTCTTATGTGTCCCGGGTTTGTTTGTCACCATTTTATGCCTCTCATCTAGGTTTTTAAAAATTCACTTCAATGTAAGCCCAGAGACATTCTCCAAACATTTTTATGAGTGTTTATCAATGCCTCTCTCCATGTTTGTTATAGAACACGGCAGTGAACAACCCTCATTCAATGCATTGTGTTCCCTGTTAGGACTTCTTTCAGGTGAGAAGACTCTCACTATTTGGCTATGGGAAACTCTAGGATATTGTACAGATGATTTCAGCCCCAGAGTAGGAAAAATAGGAAGAATCAGATAAACCAGGCAGCTGGTGCTTAACCTTCCTCTGCAGCTGAGTCCTGGTGCAATGTTGGGGGGCCTTATGTTCTTCTTTTCCTCTAGCATTCTTTTACTACTTTCCGAAGTTCACATTACTTTTAAGATTTTATCATCTTTTTAATTGTGTAAATTACAATCGTACCCCTTTCCCTTTCGCTTTCCTCCCTCCTACCCCTCCCACACATATATCTTGCTGTCTCTCAAGTTCATGCCCTCTTATTTTTTAAATTGTCCTCTCTCTCTCTCTCTCTCTCTCTCTCTCTCTCTCTCTCTCTGTGCCATATCTCAAGCCACCCCTCAAAAAGTATTCTCAACTGATTTTTTTGAGAGGAGAGAGTACTTTTCGGAATATGTGTGTTATCCTTGTGCAGGGGCCATGCTAATCTTCATTGCATCATCCGATTTTAACGTATGTGATGCTGGAGTGAACTAGTCTCTCTAGTCTCTCTTCAGGCTTCTTTGTAACAGGCTCAAGGAAGAAGAATGAGTGAGCAAATATGCTGTCTTTACAACATACTCCATCTCTATGCTGGCACTGAATAAGAAAATACTATAAATAGGTATTATTCATGAAAGTGGAAGTTCAGAAATACAACATAGAACACCATGCAATATAAGAAATATTCAAAGCCTGGGACTTGATAATGTGTCTAAAATTATTTCGATAATGTAGCACAAATAGTGAAATACTCCCCAAAGCAGTGTTTGTTCAACTTCTCGTTACCTTTTGTATCTTCTCTCCATTTCAGGACGACATATTTATACATTCAATGCTCCCTGTCTTCAGTCCTTTCACTATTTTAAGGATGTGTTGCCTTTACAAAATTATTTGCTCTTTCAGTCTCCATGTTTGGAAGATGTTGAGCAGATATCAGAGTCTTAAAATGGGCAGCCCCCTCCCCAAAAAAGACTACTGCCGTTTATCTGGCTCTGTCCTCTGAAAGTTTTGGAAGATCACACTTACAACTCTATTTCACTTTACTACTGAAAATACCATCCCTTTAATAAATTCCCCTATGTTTACCATTTACTCTATATAAAGGATTGATTATTGTCCATTACCTATCCACTCCAAAACGCCTACATCTAAACCCCTGGGAACCTACGATTACCTTCTCATCCATTAAAAGGAACATCACAGACATGTATAAATTAATTATTCAGTCAGATTCATTTGGACAAGCCTTCTATGATCACAGTCTTCTTTATCAGAGGAAGAGAGCCCTGAAAGCGGGGGAGGACACACACATGTGTGAGAGAGACAGGGAGACAGAGACAGACACACAGAGAGAGGTAGAGGGAGGCAGGCAAGTATGTAGAGAGAGATGTAGAGAGAGAAAGAAGAGAGAGACAGACAGACAGAGATAGAAAGAGAGGTAGGTAGGTATGCAAAGAGATGTAGAGAGAGAGAGACAGACACAGATAGAGAGACAGAGACAGAAGTAGGTAAGTAAGTATGCAGAGAGACAAGGAGAGAGAGGGGGGAGAGGAGAAGAGATGAGAGAGAGAGACAGAGAGAGAGACAGAGAGAGAGACAGAGAGAGAGACAGACAGAGAGAGGTGGTTCAAAGTGGCAACAGAAGGAGTTTGGAATACCTTGGCCCCACTATAGGGAAGCAGCAATTCTGATGCCTTGATTTTAGGTCAATAAAACTGACTTTTGACTTTTAGCCTCCAGACCTGAAATAAATAAATGTCTATTACTTTAAGCTTTGAAGTGTGTGATAATTTGCTGCAACAGTCAGAGGAAATGAATACTCTACAGAAGATATAAAATGTAACCAATAGTCTTTCCAGTTCTGTAGAGCTGGGGCTTTGTATTGAGGGCAATGATAAGGTGCAAAGGATAAACTTCCATAGCTATTGGAAGAAAAGAAGTATATCATCCACGACTCAGAAAAACACTTCCTTTAATGAGCCAGTGATGTCTTTTCAACTCATTAAAAAGGATTTATGGAACTCTTTCCCATTTTCCCCTAAAGGTTAAAATCTTTTAGTGTAAACATAGAGCAAAGAAAACTAAATTCACACTAATCAGCCTTTAAAGGTTAGAATGGTGAATGCCTTGTAGTCTTCAGGTCATGGGAAATTGCATCTTTCCTTTCTTTTAACTGTGTTCCAATCCACTTGCTAATGTGCTGTCAGATGAAAGAGCCATCTCATGATTTCACTAGCAAAGGCACATACAAATCCATAATCGCATAGAAATTGAACTGTAGACATCAGGTATAACAATGCTTACATTTAACAGCATTGCCTCGACATGATGATGCCTTAGTGATTTTACATTGTTGTTTTGACTTATCATTAATGTTCTCAAAAGCTCAAGGGCAGATGAGAAAAGTTAAAATTGAAAGGAAGAGATATAAGCGAATAGGAAGACAAGCGTCTGAATTTGACTCATGTTTAACTTTCAGAGAAACAAGGAAAGTACCCAACTTAAAGCAGCTTTATTGAGAGCTAACCACTATGGGATGTGGAGTCAGGGCTGCATATTAACCAGCTGGGATTCTATTATTATGTAGCATTGCTACATTAGTAGTGAACCTTGGGCAATGTCTTTCTTAGTACTTCAGTGTGTTCTCAAATAAACCTAGTTAATAGTTTACACTTTGCAAGGATGTGCAGCAGACAGAATAGATCATCCACATTAGAAAAATGCATTGCGTATGTTAGCTAAACATGATTTTTCTTTCTAATTTTCTGTTGTTCTAATTTAGGGAATTCCACTCATTAAATAAAGTAATGAAATTATTGTCATTATTTTTATATCATATACACAAACATACAATAAAATCCATCTTTTCAAAGTTAAATGGAAACAAGAAAATAAAAACCTTAGTGAAGAGAAAAAACTTGCTTGGCAGCAGGTCACTAGGTCACCAATCACTTCCTGTAATCCATAGTATTCTATATTGGGCATTCTGGAAGGTTTTATATGTAATTGCTTTGAAAAAGTTTTCAATATTCAGGTTTGCTGGATTACATCTCTGTTGCACAGGTAAATACCAAATGCTTTGAAACTTAATAGCTGTGTATTTAAAGTGGAGTTAACTGTAGTATTTTATTTGTGGGTGACTTTGAGGATTAGATGTAATAAAATATAGTCGATATGTAACTTTTATTTGGTGTTAGAATTGATGATTATCATTGGCCTACAGAGTTTGTTGATGTACTTGTTAAATAGTATCATCTTCATTATGAGTATTTCATTTTCTCTAAACTCACTATATTCTGTAAGGGGATATATATATGTGTGTATACACACACACACACACACACACTCACACACGAGGGGGATGACAGAAAGGAAGAGAGGAAGGTGTGAAGTAAAGAGAGAAAAATGTTGCGATAGAGATTTTTCAGATACAAAAATTGCTACAAACTCTATGTTTATCCTAGAGATCAATTTTTAGGAATTGAGTATGTTGAAGGCAAGTTCTGTCTCTATGTGAAGTCCAACTCCTATGGAGTTCATAAGGGTACACCTAGTTAAAGTTAACCAACCTGTAATGCATGTTGAGGCTCCTGCAGAAAGAAACTTGTTATATTTGTTTTTATATGGAAGTTTTTAGCTGAAGATCACATAACAACCATCATGTCATTGACAACTTCATTATGGCTCCCAGATGAGTCATCAGTTGAATGAAGGAAGCTACAGATAATGCAAATAATGGAGAACACTTAATGGACTCTTACTTATTTGAGTCTTCATATAAGTTGTTTGTTTATTGGCATTTTCTTACTCAAAAAATAGAATAATGAGCACATGTGCTAAGAGATTAGTATTATTGATTGTAGAGCTGCTTGCTTGACATAAATGTGGCAATTATAATTACTGTGATATAAGCAGGTGATGAGATGAACAAGATCCCAGCTGAGCACATAGGAAAACTGAATTAAGTGGTGACTTTCATATATGTTTACCTAAGAGAAAAAATGATTTCAGGTAATAGTGGCCCATTCTACACAAGGATGCATGTAGCACAAATAATAAAATCCTAGAGACAGATATTGGGGTTCAAACTGAAGATCAGAAAAGCAAATCAGCCAGCCTTGAGATCTTACCTCTATCTCAGACTGCAAGGGCAATCCTGTCTCCATGAATCTTCAGCTTGGCTGGAGAATGAATGTCAGAATACTGAAACTGAATGTTTTGCTCCTATCTTATATATCTCTAGTGCTGGAATTAAAGGCATGAGCTCGGTTACTCTTTTAGACTAATTCACTCTCATGCAGCCCAGGGAGGTCTTGGACTCACAGAGATCCATCTGCCTCTGTCTCCTGAATCTTGGGATTAAAGGTGTGTACCTCCATTGCCTGGCACCTATGGCTGACTAGTGTGGCTATCTTTGCATTCTGATATCCAGGCAAGCTTTATTAAATCATAAACAATATATCATCCCAGATCCATGAAGATCATGAGGGAGGACTTTAGAAGTTTAGGTTTATTTTATTATAGTCTGGAACTATAATTCATGCAATCCTTTGTGGTTTACACTACTGGTTAGGATAGACATTGTAACTTGTTCTCATTCCACTCATGGTTTCTAGGACAAGAAAGATTTTGAAGCCGAAGAGATGGTTGTGTCTTTAAATGATAGACCATTTCAAGTAAAAGCATGTGGAACTTTGGGATTGTTAGTTATTGGAATTGTTCATCATTGTGGCATAACATTGTCTATTCTGATTAAAGAACATCCATAATTCTCTTACCAATTGCGAGAAATACAGCTATGCTTTTAGCACTCACATAGAATTCCATATTCAGTTAGGCTCTTGAAAGCATGTACTTTGCCTTCTTTTCAAGATACTTATTTTTCCTTCCCTTATATTTTAAAAGAAGAAGCGTATCTTTAGTTCTTTGAAGATAATACATAACAATTGTTTTATACTATTTGTAGCAAGTTTATTTAGAGATCTGTGTAGAAACTTTTATGTCTATGTGAGGACAGATTGTTGACACAGAAATGAAGGAGACTTAAGGCGCAGACATTCTACTGAAGAAACCAATAATTACAAAGGAATTAATTGTACTTGGAGTTGTATCAAAGGAACAGCCACCAAACTAGAAGCACCCTTATTTATAGGTTTAGAAGAAACTCAGCAACCTAAAGATGACTTTCATTTACCAAGTTATAAGCAAGATCCTTGGATGAGAATTTGAAGTGATCTAATTAGTGGAGAGTCACAAACCCGAAGGGAAAAACAAGCTGATGGAAAAGTGCTGTGTGGGAAACAGGTTGAAACTCTTAGGCACAGAATCCAGACTTGTGAAGCTGTTTAAGAAACATTACCTAGAGAGGCTAACAACCACAGGAAATATAACTCAAAGGACAGCAATGCTGGATACCAACTTTAAAGATCAGCGACCACCGGAGGTGAAGCACAGAAGCCGGAAACAATGACAGAAGAATTTGGGATAGAAAC